TAAATAATCATCCTCATGCTCACCATCACAATTACCATTACCGTCACCATCGCCAACAACATCATCATCAGCATCATCATCATCATCATCATCATCATCATCATCATCATCATCATCATTACCGACTCAACAATTCCCCTTTCATATAACAATCTGCATCATTACTTTCTTTTTACGTAACCAACAAAGACGGGCACCAAAATGAGGACACGGGGAAAAAAAAAAATTATTATTAAGCAGTGTCTGAGAACCTTGCTGGGTTATTTTCTGAACCAAAAGCCAAGATCAGTATCTAAGCTGTCCCCGTCGTTTTATGCAAGAAAAATTCATTCTGAAAATATGCAAACTGAGCCCAAAAAATGTGAAATTATGCGATTCTGTTAATTCTTTTACGAAGAATGATACAGGAAAATCATCAGAAATTGTGCAAGAAAATTTTTAATTATTAAATTTGGCTAAATTATGCGGGGTGCATAAAACCACGGGGACAGTCTAAGTTAATAAAATCGGAAACAAGTTGGCATAAGCTGTTGCCCATATTATTATTATGCATGTCTCCAAGACAAGATTTGAGAAATGAAAATGACAGGAGAAAGATTATCTTTTCGATTTTTATCTATTCATTTATTATCATTTTAATGCATTTATTTATTTATTCGTTCTTTTTTTAGTTCAATTTTTTTTCTCTTTTTTTTGTTTTTGCTTGTTTTTTGCTTAGTTTATCTATCTGCCGCGCCGGACTAAGAACAGAGATAATATTTTGATAACCGTGTACTTAATTCTCTGACAAGACCCAGTACTGGGAGAAAATATTCCTAAGTAGACTACAAATCTTCTAACTTTAGGTGGATTCCAATATCCAACTTCCAGGTTTTGACTTTGAAATATTGAAAAGATCGTAACAAACCGAATGTCGGAAAAAAAAAATCCCAGATCTCGTTCACCTGAGACCGAAAAACAGCAAAATTGGCGCCACGCTTATTTTCCTTTTTTTTTTTTAAGTACTTAAAAAGTATTTACAAAAAAAGACGAAGATGTAAAAACCTGTCTACACATCATCAAAAATAGTTCAGCTATTATCAAAAGGACACAAGACCAGTTTGCACACTTAGCAACGTGTCTTATCTCTCCTTTACTTACATGGTCATAGCGCCACAGAGTCTTCACGTTAGAGGCTTTCGAGAGTTTGAAGATCTTGAACTGTTGGGGAGAGTTTTTGGTGGCCAGGGACAAGCCGATGACAAACTCTCCGGACATCAGCTGGCCGTCATCTGTCAGACGCCATTGCTGGCGGGGAAGAAGAGGATGTTTTATTTAAGAAGAAGAAGAAGAAGAAGAAGAAGAAGAAGAAGAAGAAGAAGAAGAAGAAGAAGAAGAAGAAGAAGAAGAAGAAGAA